CTTCCTTCCTTCCTTCCTTCCTTCCTTCCTTCCTTCCTTCCTTCCTTCCTTCCTCTCACGTTGTACCACGTAAAACGGAAACCAACAGCAGTGGTATCCATAGGGGTGTCTACATCCTTCCATCCATTATCCAGACTATGATCCCAAGAACATCGTGTTTAGGAATCTGGAGCCTGAGGACGCAGTACTGGAATTTCAGAACAGCCTGTGGGACCCAGGAACCCACCCCTACCACCACCACCCTGTTCCAAGCAATAGGGGGGGGGCACATACGCAGGACTACATAAGAAGATTCCATTGCAGCTTCGTCCATACACTCAGGCTGCTCAAAGTAGCCTCCTGAAATCCTATCACCTAGTTGGAACAATTAGTAGCTTCCCACAAGGTCTCAATCAAGAGGACCCATTCCTTCTCCTGGAGGCTGTTGAACTTAATAACTTAAAGGAGGCTGCCCAGCCCAGGTACTTCCCACCAGTGTAACTTTGAGCAAGTTTCTGCATGTCTCTCTGCCTCGGTTTCCTCGTGTGTTGGGTGTCATGTGGGCCGGAACAGCTGCTATTACATTTACTCCAAAGAAGTTTCCAGAGAACCTTCTAGGGCTGGATCCTTTGCTTTCTCGACTATGAAACCAGAAATCAAAGCTAAAGTCCTGGCTCAGCTCTCCTTGCTGGGGCTCACCAACTGGTGGGAGGAGCCAGCTCACAGAGAATTATAAAACAAAGACTGAAGAAAGTAGTAGGGGAGAGTTGGCAGCACCTTAGGGAGGGGGGTGGCTTAAGGAGGCTTCCTGGAGGAGAGAAAAGTCTAAGCTGAACCTCAGGAGGGAAGCAAACAGTGTCTTGGAAGAGGTGCAAGTAGTTAGGGAAGCCACTGGGGAGCAGGAAGAGTTACAGGCAGTGGCCAGGACAGCGGGGGTCCAATCTTGGCAGCACCAGGGCCCCTGGTCTGTGTGCCCACTCAGGACCCCTCATGGCGCCTGGTGGCTGCAAAGGGCCAAGGGCAGAGGATAGCCCATTACCCATGAGGACGTCCTTGTGGCAGTACCACCTTCCGCTTAGGCTTGTACCCATTGTAGGGGGATAGAGGGGGATCCCCAGGTCAAAGTGGAGTGGGCTACGGCCATTGGCCACCCCCTCCCTGGCATCTTTTGCTGGGTCTGCATGCTAACTGAGCTTCTTATTCAGAAAACCTCTGTTTTCCCTCGGTGGACAACTCCCCTCCCCTGCCCTCCTCCCCCTTAAAAAATAAAATTGTTTGTCTCATCTCCAAAGGTCTCCCTGCAGCCACTGCCGACCCCAGGTCCCAAGTGGTTCGCCGAGTTTCCCCAGGAATGGGGACTGGCGTGGAGGTGGGGGCGGAGAGCAAGCAGACAACATTGAAGTTTCGTTTTTTGTTTGTTTGTTACGCGGGCAAAGCCCTAACCAGAGAACTTCAGCGTCACAGGGTTGGGGTGCAAACGTCTCGCGGGGCGTAGGGTCCGCGGCTCTCCGTTTGAGAGATGAGAAGGAGGTGGTCGTAGTGGGCCCAGGAGAAGGTCCAGGCTGCTGGCGACCCCGCACACACCAGATGGGAACACGGGCCCGACCACACGGTACACGCGGGGGGAGGGAGCCCTAGGGCGCACGGCTGACCCTGCCCCGCGCTCCCGGCTCCACACCCTGCGGGCCCCAAATGCAACCTTGGCAGAGGTGCCCACAC